ATGTCCTCCCAACAAGGAAGAGCTTGAAGAGACTCCTTAAGGTGAAAGAGCTCCTGTAGAATCCAAAGATCAGCCGTTCTCCATTCCAATGGCTCTTTAATGGGTTTACATAACCATTTCTGCCTCACTGTTTGGTCTGATTAGGTAAGATGAAAACAGCAGTTCACCAGATCCATTGTACATCATTTCAATCCAGTGTACTTAAATCAGCTGTTTATGATAGTTCAAATGGACACAGAACAACATCAGAAGTAAAGAACCCAACATTTGGAATAGGTATGAAATACTCAAAAGGCTGTACATGAATCTTTTAGAGTTATAAAATGGCAATTACAAAGGCAGCAGTTTCACAGTGGCCATTAGTTCAGGAAGGTGTCGACTGCATAGGAAAAAAAGTTTCAGCTCGTGACAAATCAACATTTTAACTTCAGGCATCAGAAGCACTACTGACAGTTATCTACATTTTACAGTTCAGTCACACTTTTTTTTTTTTATTTAACGTCAGTATACAGAGGACAACCCCGGTAAATTATTCTGTAATGTCAAGTATTTCGTAGGGTTTCTTCAGCTGAAACAGTGACATAAAACGCTAAAAAATAAGCAGTATGAAACAAACATGATTCTCTTTTTTAAAATTATAAATATACCAACAATACTTATTAAAGCTTCATTATTATTGCAAGTCAATTTAAGTTTAACAATTTGTCATGTTAGAAAGGCTCTTATGAAATTTATTCAAGTTGTCAAGAAATTAGATGGACGTTTATAAAGAAAATACATATGTATTTTACTGTTGATTTCTTTTTCACTATATCATTACAATTTTTGTACAGTATCACCTAACGTGTCGATCTTAAATTCATGTATACAGATTTCATAAATGCAGGAAAAAATCTTGCTTTTTTTTTAAACTTTACACAAGTTATGTGACAGTAAAAGGAGCTGGTATTCTCTCTTAACACAAGCAGCCCAACAGATATTCTAAATGCAAGGGTAGTAGCTTTAACATGACAGGGGGGAGAGAGAGACAGACATACACAGTCTTTTCAAGTACATAACTGAGTTCCAAAAATCAAGCAATTAAAACAAGGTATTTAAAAAAAAAATCTTCCAAAAGAATCTTTTCTATTCTGGACACCCAAATTATAAGGCAATCATTCTCTCTGGAATTTACAGAACTGACCCTTTATCAAACTGGCCAACTTCTTAAACTGGTATATAAGGCTACACTAATCCTGAAAATGGAAGTGTATGGTGACTTCAAGGAAACCCCAGGCTCCCATTTCCAATCTACTTACGTTTCAAGATGTTTCACACTTTTTCACCAAACCAAGACACTAATCCTGATCTTCCAAAACCATCCCTGAATTCAAATTTATGTTAAATGATACAGGGTAGTAACTCCCGAACAACAGCACTTTATATTTCAAATTGCAACTAATAAAACGTCCCTTCCCAACAAGGAGAATTTAGTAGTAAATGGAACTTCTTCCGGCAGCCATATATAGAAGCACAAAAATGTCTGCTAAATGCCTTAGCAAAAACCGAACTCATAAAAAAACAAAAAACCAACCATGATGCTGAAACTACAGTTGCTGTTTATTGGAAAACTTGAGGACGTTCTATAATTTAAATCTAGATTCTCCTGTACAATATAGTTCAAATAAATATTCTAAATCTCATGTGCATTTTTTTTGTTATACAAACTGGTAACACATTTACTCTGCTGGGGTTGTACATGCTGCCATGCCACTCGGCTATTTTAGTAAGCTTTCAGGATATGAAGGGGTTCGTTTCCCTGAAATTGCATGTGATTCTGGGGAGGCTCTGTCCTTTAAGGCAACAGCCTTTGACTAGAACTGAATTGTGATCACAGCGCTGTGTAAGAAACACATAGCCATCCCGCAGCCTCTACCAGACCAACGGTGTAACTGGAACAACATGGCCAAAACATTTATTCGGACTCTGAGTTTTCCCAGTAGTAAAGATAGCCGTGTTTCGCAAAGTAATTACTGGGAAGCTTTGGTGCCTGCCAAGTCTCCCCACAAGTCTTGCTGTGATATGAAACACAGCCTCATCCTACACTAATACTTTCCACCCGAACTCTTTGAAGGAAGCTGGACATCATGGCAACGCCAAGGCTAGTGGTGTCATGTCTTCCTACTCTGAGATTCCTGATACTTAAACTAGGTAGGACGGTAGCCCATCGAAGATGCTATTCTAAGGAACGGACATTCATCCATATACCCTGTTCTTCTATAGAAATATAGGCCTGGATCAAAAGCATGGCGAGCTTCAGAATGGACCGCGTCCACTTCCTGCACAGCCCTCCGCACCTTCCCAAATGCTGCCCCCCCCCCAGGATAACAGAACTTCCCAGGAACAGAAGTGGGTGCATTGTGGGGGGATGCAGTGGGAGGGGGGGATGTATAGCCAAAACACCGCTCTCCCCTGATTCTCTGGGACTGTCTTTTCACGGGCAGCAGGAGGAGTTGGCTCAGACCCAACCCATTCCGTTTGCTATCCTGACTGCACCAATCTGCAGAGATAGACTGGAAAGGGCTGGCTGAGGAGCAGACAGGTTTCAGACTGCCCGAATGGCTGAGCGATCTGCCTAGGCCGGAATGTTGTGATCGTTTTATACAACTGATGCATCCTGGCAAAGGGAGTGGGGGAAATCTGCGCAGGAACACACAGTGATGGGGGAAAAACAAGATTTTCTTTTGACTCCTGGGGGCAACAATGGCAGAGGAAAGTGGCAGCTTTAAACTGTCAAAGAAACGCAGCTTTGCTATGGGACTGAACTACGAAGCAAGACAAAAATAAGCAGTGTATAACCCAGGAGGAAGAAATATGTTACCATGAGTGTTTTGAAGACTCATTAAATAGGTATAAAGTTTAGTAAGTGCTCTCCTATAAAACAAACAAAACAAAAAAGGATGCTTATTAACACCTTTCTGGCACAAATACCTCCCCAGCCAGAGCCCTGTAAACATATCGCTTAATTTGCTAGTTTAGGCCAGCTAAGTGAGCTCACTGACTGCAACAATAAAGAAAAGAAATCATTTGAAACCCATTCTAAGTAAACACATCCTAAAACAATATGGCATTTACATCAGTGTGCGATATTAGTTTTCAAAGACCGAGTGAAGAGCATCAGCATGAAACTTACCTTTAGTTAAAGATTTCCGCATTGGCCAAAATACATAAATCCTAGCTTTTGGTACTGCATACTCTATCTCTGGAATATTTGAAACCTGTTCCCAAGTCAAACCAGATACTACATGGAAGTTGTGGTCAATGAACATAATTTGCAGCTCTTTTCAAATACCTTAATGAAGTGGAAGCAGCCAAACCAATTTTACTTTGAAATGATGACAAAGTGGAAGGACAATATTCACTACCGTGGCTGGCCTACTTTTACCAATTCCTCTTCAAAACTAGTGGTCCTCTGCTGAAATACGAAGGCATCCATGATTTTAACATGCAAGGACTAATGAGGTTTTGCCATTTATTCTTAAAACGTGCACATTTTTCCAACTGAAAATAGGAAGGCTATACATTTCCATATTTAGACTATTCAAGGTAAGGCATACAAAAGAGAACAGAGCATATTCGGTAAGATTCCACTTAAATACTGAACTCAGGACATTTTTTTGAGTCGTTATGGAAGTCATCACAATGGGCTTTAGTTTCTATCGGAAGATCTTGTGTATGAGTTCCCTGAAACCTGCGCATTCCAGGAACTCTGGTAACTTTCAAGTACTTTAGAGCTGACCTTCAGGAAGCTACAGCAGAAAAATAGTGCCCAACGCTAAACCTCCAGAAGACTACCATTATGTGTTTTCACTTCCATTCCAGGCTTATTTACTGCCTAGGATATGGACCACTCAGCGCTTGTATGAGCACCCTGGACTTTGCCAGCAGTTTTTAGTTGCAGCCTCTCCTACTGTGTCCAGTATTGCAGTGGACCACCACTAAAACCCTTATGGGCTGGCTTTTTGGGAGGCATGGGGGAGTGCCACAGTGGAAAAGATGAACAAAAGGTGCCCAAATGTTTTTTGGGGGAAGGGGGATCGGCTCTTGGCTGTAGAATGCAAGTTTCTAATGAGAGAGAGAGAGAGAAACGCATTTGCATAAAGTGCTAAAAATCAAGACGCTAATTTCCAATTTGCTCAACATGAAAGAAAACGTTACTAGAGCCACATTTAAGCCTGTGCACCGAAAAAACAGAAAACGTGTGAGTTAAATATATATATTTTTTTAACATGGGGAGCTAATGTGAAAGGGAAAAAATAAGAATGTGATACCATTTAACCAAGGGAGTTTTAAAAGTGACATTTTTGTACAGAAATGCTTGGACGAGACCTGGGTAGTAAAAGCTGGAATATTACAATGCATACTTAAGACCAGTTTGTTCTAATTTGAAAAGGTAGACACTATAAGCTGTCCTCTAGAAGATCTATGAAAGGAAGCTAAGGATTATCAGTGCTATGACTACCTTTTGAGAAAGAAACTGAGAACCTAACCTTCTTTTAGGATTTCCACCAGGTAGGTCTCCCAAGCACAACTGCCCAGAACGTGTGGTTTATTACAACACCAAGCCACAGCTTGTCACAGCTGTGGTTGTTTTATATTCCTGAATGCCCTAGCAAATTCCACCCTCACTGATTCTCCAATTTGTCTTAATCATGTCATACAAAAATAGCTTTGAAAATATAGAGAAGACTATCAATGACACTTTGGATACACAACGCACCTCTGGCTGGAAGGCAATGGTATTTTGAAAGAACTTTTACCTGGGCCAGACACTTCAAATTGTTCAGAAATACGGCATGCAGTATCCAAAAGTATGGCTCTGAGGAAATAATCCTTTTCTTTTTTTTTTTTACATTAAGCAGAAAGAAATGTATATTCAACATTCAGTTATGTTTTGAGGGGGGGAGAACTACCTATTCAAGTTCTACTTCTTTGATGCAGCATTAAGGATTAAAACTTACCACTTTACCAGGCCTTGCCCATGTGCAAATAAATCCCTCCTGACAAGCAGTGACTATACAGTCTTCAAGAAAAATTAACACAGTCAGTCTTTCATGTGCTATCTTTTTACAGATAAGAGGCTCTAACAAAGGAACATCTTCCATTCTGGGACAGAGAGGCGTCCCCAAAGTTTTTGCTGGGTCCGTTTTGGTTTTAGTAACTAGGTTCAGTTTGTCACTGCTCTTACTGGATATATGTCCCATGCTATGGTTTCTCTTATGATCTTTTTCATGGTGTCTCTCCTTCCGGTCATGTAGTGATAAGGTTGCAAACTTACTAACGCCAGAAGCAATGGCACCGTCCATGACACTGCTTTTGCTGCCGGAATTGGAGACTGCAGAATGCGGAAGGCTATTGGATCGTGGAAGAGGAGGGGGCACAGAGTTTCCAGGGGTCGTTATGCTGTTTCCATTACTTCCTGGGTTAGCTCCGCCACTTCCTGCAGGCGGGCTTGTGGCATTCATGACATTTGTGTGTGTCCTTGCTCTCGAGAGGGGTTGGTGAGGGAAGAGGATATCTTCTGTTAGGTCCCATAAACACAACTGTGTGTCCTGGCCTACTGAACCAAACCTGTACGTCACACTTACTGGCCGACTGTCTGTAGAGTTCCTTTTCGATAACCTAGACTGCGTGCTGTTTGCTCGATCTCTTCCAAAATGAAGGTCTTGGAAATCCTCATCACTGCCACTAAATTCCATTGGATCACTTTCTTCTACGCTAGTGGTATACGGATCAAAGGCCACAACACTGACCCACGATTTGTGGCCATGGCCTCTAGCTATCACTCGACAGTCCACAAAAGACCAAACAGTCACCAAGTCATCCTCGCCACCAGTTACAATGTACTTTCCATCTGGACTCCAACATGCACAAAGCAATCCTCCAAAGTAGCTTTTCATTGTACCGTGCAACTCCACTGAATCAAAGTTAAACACACGAAGAAAGCCATCCTGGCTTACACATGCCAAGAATTTCCCATCTGGGGAAAAAGCAAATTCGTTCAGAGCCCCCTCACCTACTGTCCATTTAAGCAGAGGGTTTCGTGTAGATTTGCTCTTGCAAGTGTGGACTGCAAAGTTTTCACCTTGTTTAAGTGGCTGATAATGTGGGGCTGTGGTGCCACAATTGTGTTCCACATTATACAAGTACATATTGCCACTGGAATGAGCTACTAAGAAAAGGCCTTCTGAACCTGGCACCCATTTTACACAGGTTACTCTGGATTTGTCTATTAGTCTCTGAAAAAGAAAAACAAAGGTACACATCAGAGTCCTCTCAGTTTCTCACTTCTCATTTAATAAGGTGCATTCACTAATTTACTGCCAGTAGTGTTGGAGATACACAGCTATTCTAAGATGCATAAAAAACAAGCTTATGATGCACTTCAATCATAAATAACGGTTAGAAGTTGAAACTCTCAGCCTTGCTTGTTGAAAAGAATTGAAGACGAGGGGAAAATCGAACTCTGGAAGCTTTACACATTGCGGGGGGGGGGGCTACTCACCAATAAAAACCTGGCATGGATATAGAAAACAAGTGCATAAAAGACACTCACTTGAGTTCATGGTTGTTGTTTTTTTTTTGGGGGGGGGAACAACCTAATATGAGGGATCTATACAAACACTGGCATTTTCAAATCAGTGGCAAGTATAAGGGTAATAATGGGATTTACTCTCGGAATTCTAGTTCTACTGCACTGAAGTGAAAATGGGAAGAAAGCAAACAAAGGAAACAGCAATAATGGTGATCCTGATATGTGTAACTTAAACAGAAATGTACTTAGTGATGCTGAACCCAGGATGGGGGAAAAGCAATCTAATATCTGGACAATTTAAATGTGTTTCACATTCCTACAAAGCACTGCTTTCAGCTTCAGAGGAAGGCAGGAAGCTACAAGTGACACCGGAAGAGAATTTGGAGTTGTTTATTCTGACTTCAATTAATTTTGCTGGGCTCTTGGGAAGAACCAGTTCCATTTGATCTATGGGTTCATTAGTTCCAAATGACTGTGAAATTGTTCTGCTAATCCAAGCCATTCGAGAACAGCTCCGAAATGGGGATGATACGGGTTTATAAGAGCTGGCTGTAAAACTACACACCCTTCCTCTTTCTGGAGCTGTATCTGACAGCTCCAACTGAGAAATGGTGGTACCTTTTGCACTACCATACTCTGTTCTTGATGTAGAGGCTTCAGTCGGGACTGATTGTAACCTACAGTGAAGATTATAACAGTCTACAACCTATATGAAATGCAACAACTCCATCCTTGAGAACAGCCTGCTTACCTGCAACTGGTGTTCCTTCCAGTGATCATTCTGCACAGTCAGGACTCAAGCCTGTGCAGAGCAGCATTTGGAATCTTCTAAAGCTAAGCTAGAAATATTTTTGGCCAATGGCCCCTTGCCCAAGGAAGCAATGACAACATACGTTGCCTGTCAGTGCTCGGCACTTACTAAAAGCAATCCTCCGTGCCATAAAGGGACTCACCTGTGCGGGAAGGTAGGGAAAACAGGATAGCAGAGGACAGAGGACAGCAGAAAGTAGAGGACCGCAGAAAGTCTGTGGCAATTTAGCTTATGAAGTCCACGGAGAAAATCCTTCCCAACTGCAGAACTGAGCAGGAAGGCATGGCTCCTCCTGCCTGAGGTATGCATGCTGTCGCCCCCTTTCCTCAAGATGAGCGGAACCAACATTTCTAGCTTAGCTCTAAGAGATATTCTAGCTTCGCTCTGGACGATATTCTGAGCAGGCTACAGTCCCGTATTCTTGGGATGCACGGAAACCACAAAGAACTTATCTTCTCATTCAACACAAGACACAGAGAAGCATGGGATATAGCAAATCCACTGCGTAAAGGTTACCAGAACCTGCCATATTTGTACGAAGAGAGTGGGCAGAGGCTGGCATCAGCTTGGCAAAAAAGGCATGAACCTCACTGGTATAGCATACAGGAGTGCAAGGCAAGGATGTGGTTAATACAGAAGAGAAGGGAGGTGGGTGGCAAAGGCAGGACACGGCTTAGGGGAGTGTCCTGAACTGTCTCCCGAAGAGCTGGGCCATACAAGAAATAAGAGGTCAAGCCGTAAAATTGTAATGGTTTCAGCAAGAGTCAAGACCAAGTGTCTGTGTCTAGCATCCTCCCTCGCACTGGATGGCATTTCTAAAGCAGATTTTACAGGGGGATGGGTAGACAAGAGCTTCTGGCATTACATGTTTTTAGAAACGTGCTTCCCGGCAGAACTGGTATTTACATTAAAAATGGCACTCTATTCTAAAAGGACGCCTGCTTTAAATGACTGGTAGGCCAGCATTTTCACGTGGTCTTGAAGATTGCTAGAGGTTAACGTTCAGAACAGGCACAAGGGAACTGTTCCTCACAAATAAGGAACAAGATGTCAGCCAGTATAGCATCCGTTAACAAATCGCCAGTGCACTCTGCTATGGCAACTGGTTCAATAGCATGTGATAGTAGCATCTTCTTAACCGTCGAAAATTATGAAAACATACCCAAAGTAGTTCTGAGACACACACTTCCGTGTGAAGTGTGTTGACCCATTAGTGGGAAGTGGGTATGTGAATAATATTCGCAGCTGGCTAAAATTCCTTCAGAGTCATTGATCTCGCAGTCAATGGACAGTGTCCAAAATCTGCTTCATCATCTCTGTGCAGCCTAAACCGCCTCTGGGTTCTTTAGCAGCATCCCCTTCAAAAAAACTTCTGAAACTGAGGAACGTTATAAAGAGGACATGGAAATCTGCTGTTCAAAGTAAGAAGGAATCTACTAACGAAGCACAAATTAACTGGAGTTAAGATACTGAACAGAGAACCAAGGCCTGCAAGTACCTTAGCTTCAATATGTGAACAGCTATATGAAGCCAAAGTGCCTCAAACTGGATATATTCCTTATTCCTCAACCATTTGAAAAGTCATCTCTCGTCTCTAAGGCCCTTTTCAGAGAGGCCCAGTGCAGGCTCAACTCTGCCCAGCCTCCCCACCACAGTTAGGAGCACTGCTCCCTCTAAGCTGTGGAGTCTCGTGAACCAAAATTCTACTTTGTGAGCTACTGCCATTAAAGTTGTGAGTGAGCAATTTAGCTACTGCATAAATCAGTTTGCTCTGGAGCCATCCTTTCTGAGCTAAGACATAAATGTGTGAGCTGGAGGCTAAAAAACTGTGAGCTGGTGCACACTAACTCAGCTTAGAGGGAACACTGGTTAGGAGATGTCTCACGTGCTCCTCCTTTCAGTTTCTAAGTGATGATTTGTGTGACGTATGTGTCAGCGTTTTCACTCACTGTTTGCAAACTGGCTTTGACCCCTTTGCAACACTTATGGTTTGACACTATGGCTAGCAAATGCTGACGCAGATGGAACACTAAATAAAGTTAGCTCCTAAACTGAAACCGGGGCGTGCAGAGAATGTGCAGGCAAGAAGAGGGGCTCAAAGCGCCAGGGGATCAAAAACATTGTGCTGTAGGACACTGCCATGGCAAAGAGCTCCTGCCTTCCAGCAGTAAGCTGAAGGGGAAGTCGAGAGAGATGCATGTCTTCCATAGTGCAATGTTTCAGCAATGGTTCCATAGTATATAAAATAGAAGTATTTTCCTATCATCACTCACAAAGGCAGACTTGCTTCAAAGTAGAAAAGTGGCTGATGCAGAGAGGAACGTTAAAAAAAACAACACCACACCAAATACGTTTGCATGCACCAAAGAGTAAGACTTCCACTTACTTCCTCGTTAAATAGTTTGCTAGTTTCTTTTTTAATAGGATCTATAAGTTGCACCTGGCCTGCAGAGAAGCCAACTAGTAGGGAGACACTTTCTGCCGTGGCTGTTAAATGATTGAAGTCATGACACGTAGGCTGTGTTCCTTTGTATATCCTCTTATCTATCGGTTTACTCAAGTCAGCAGCCTGCAAAAAGATTGAAAACAAGATTAGCAATGGGTGCTTTACGACAGAACAGGCAAGTCTCATGTATACAGCAACCCCAAAAGGCTTGAGAAAACGGAAACACAGAGTTTAAAAAGACCAGGTTCAAGAACTGAGCCATCTTCGGTGTCCAGTTAATTGCTAGCTCATGCAGCCAAGGGGGTCACTTCAGTCACACTGCTGTGGTCCAAGAGTTAGGGGAGTATTTTGCCACAAGCTGACGTGCTGGCCAGTAAGCTCTAAGGCTGGCATCATGTACTAATTTAGTTCATGCACTCAGGCGCTAACGCATACTACATACGAACTGCCTAAAGAGTGGCATTAACATGTGGGAAGCCTCCATCTCTGCCCACCCAAGACACAAAGTGATTACACAGTGAAGAGAGCTTTTGATTTTGATGTGGGAAACCGAGGCTTGGACCCCACCAACAGAAGGATGTGGCCCAACAGGATTTTTGCCAGTTCTCCCAGGAAATCTCCGCTGAGAGCTGGGCAACCTTCTCGCGGGTAAAGTGGCACACTTGCGGGTTGCATCCGTGCTTAAGTGAGGCAAGGAGATTTTGCCCAATTCCACGTTCTCACTGCAACCTCTCATGCCAGGTGGGGTTTTGGTACATGTAGGTGCGGCATCCATCCGTGTCTTTGCAAAGGACTGCTGTAGGGAAGGGGAGACAGGGAAAAATCTACCGCTGTGATTTATTTTTACTTCATTTATATCCTGCCTTTCTCCCCAATGGGGACCCAAAGCAACTTATTTCATTCTTCCCTTCTCATTTTTATCCGAACAACAACCCTGTGAGGTAGGTTAGGCTGAGACTGTGAAATGGGCCCCAGGTCACTCAGCAAGCTTCCATGACAGACTGGAGATTCGAACCTGGGTCTCCCAGATCCAGCACTCTAATCGCTACACCACACTGCCTCTTCCCACTAAGTGAGCCCCTTCCACTTGCCTAACCTGATGATCCAGTCCTTCGCCCTGTGACAAAAGATCCGGTTAACTGTGAGAAAACGGACTAGTGACAACAGTCAGTACTACGTACTAATGTATTTTAATTGTTTTTAAGCTTTTGTATATGGTAATTGATGGGACACCCCCCCCCCCCGAGCCTGCTGTGTGGGGAGGGTGGGATACAAATCCAATAAAATAAATAAATAAGGGTAAAAACAGATATTACACTCAATGCAGGGTTGTCAAAAGGGGCTACTCTCTACTGATTTCTCACTTTTCTCTGTAATCTTCAGTTGTACTTACCCATACCACACCACCCTATTTTCCCAACTCTGAAGCACCTCCTTAGCTGCTGTGAGTAAGGTAGTGAAATTCACCATCTGATGTCATAGCATGGCTTAGTGTGACTGAAGTTTATGGCAATCTCGCCTTCTCTCCCTCCCTCACATAAATTTCCCTTTTTCCTTCTTTCATGCTGAGTGACCCCTATATCTGTCCCACCCTATCACATTATTACATATTTTGATGCTGGCCAAGCCCAGGGACTTGAAGAGACAAAATCACCTGCTATATATTCTGCTTCTGTAATGGCACACAAGAGGCTTTTGAAAGTTCAAAATAAACAGAATATTTAACTTGGAGAGAAAAAGGTCAGGTGGAATCAGGACCTATGAGGTGAACTGATAATAAAAACTGATGTAACTTTATAATCACACTAAATCCTGATATTATGTTGCCAGCAAGTGTTTTTGCTTTTCAACAAGGTCTTTGAAACTTTGAGGAGAGAGGCTTTCTTTTCAGTGTCTGCTTGAACACTCCAACATAGGTTCCTAAGTTTCACTGACTCAAGGTTTAGAAGGCAAAGTTCCCCCAAATCCTTCTCTATACACAGACCAGGGATCACTCCTCACTGTAGAGCTATTTCCCTTTCCACAGGGCAAGGATTACTTCTCTTGATTAGAAGCTCTGTCCCTTTTTGGCTTGAATAGGGCTCCACTCACCCCTTCAGCCTCTTCCCCAGTCCTCTGTCAGTGCTAAACTGTCTCTTCTTCAACTGTCAGTTCCTAACTATCATTTCTTTAACTATTGCTGAACAGAATTCCCTTTGAACTGCCTGTCACTCAAAGGTTCTCAGACTCTGTGACACACTAACCCTTGACAGTCCGCCACAACAGTTATGGGGAAAAGCAAAACAATTCAATTTTTAAAGACTACTACAGATGAATATACACTGTTCTAGCTGGGTCAATAATAGAATTAGTTAAAATATGGAAGGTACTTTTTCCATACATCTCTGTGGTTAACTACCATGTTCACATAGCTAATCATTGGCTTTTAGTGCAAATGACATTGTAAACAAGTACCTAATCTTAGTTCCATGTAATTTACACACTATGGGTTGGATAGTACCAGTCTGTTCTGCTGGCACCAGCATCTTCTCCAGTGCAAGTAGCTTTCCTTCCCTTGTGTCTGTGGAAGGCTCTTTACACTGGAGTAGAACAGTAGAATATTTTACTTTTTTTTAAATGGAAAAAAATCAACCAAAGCTGAGTAAACAATAAGGCAAAAATTGGCAAAATGGGTTTGAAGTGATACGGGTGACATTTAACTCAACACCGTAAGTTTAAAATCAAATTCTTGGTCTGCTTGGTTTAAATGTTGTTCTGAAGATGCCACAGAGGTGCCTCATAATTTCTTGTAAAAAATACTGATGCTGAATGACAAATATTAAAGTACAGCCTACACGAGATCACTGATAACATATGGACATGAGGCCATAAAGGTACAAAATAGCATGTGAGAGCTGGAAACGTATTTCTGTATTTTGAGTCTTTAAGATGCCAGAAAATATTTCAGATTCCTTGGCAGAAGCAGCACATTTCTAAGCCACCCAGCAGCCAGATACCTAGACTTTGTTCTACCCCTGGACTCCATATTATGCTTTGATCTCCAAGAAACATTAAGGACACTGATATAGGGAGGAAGCAGGTGATGAACAGGTTGACACTGATATAGGGAGGAAGCAGGTGATGTAGGGAGGAAGCAGGTAATAAATGCTGTGATCTAGATTACAGGAGACACGAGAATCAAAAGAACCATTGACATTATATGCACATAGATTTTTTTTTCCTTTCCATTTTCATAGTTGGAAACAACTCAACCCTGACTCAAGATCAAATCATGTCTGCGCCTAGATGGGGGCCAAACTTCAAGTACACCCACCTTTCCTTTCAAACTAGCATACGTATAAAGTTTTCATCCCAACCACAAATTGCTAGAAGCCCCACACAGTTTGGGTAAACTTCAATGAATAATGTAATTTCAGTGTTTATTCTGCAAGCAGGTGGACTCGCAACTTGATTGCAAGATCAAGTATACCCATAAAACAAATTAAGGTTTTACTACAGGTTTTTTTTAAAAAATGGAGTATTCTGTTTCTTCATTAGCTCTCTGCTAGAGGAAGTGAGATCAGAAACACTAAATGCAAGTTGGTGCTTGAGAAAGAATTTTCAAAAGCAGTTTGATGCAATGAAGCAAATCCGGCTGAATATCAGGGGTCTATCTAAAAGCCTGCTAAGCCAAAGAAAAGTTTAATTTCGAATTACTGTGGAAGTGACTAAGAAACAGACCTCAGGAGTTTTAGAGACCAGGAGTTATGTGTTTCCTACACTGAGGATAACCTGTAAGTACCACATAAAGCAACTAACAGGCAAGCTATGACCCAACATTCAGCTTTTATGGCTTTGGGGGCTATATTTTTCCAGCTTTCTAGTACAATATTTTTTTTTCAGATAGCAGGAGAAAGGATGAAGGTCCACGTTTTGATAAAGATTGTGGGCGCTATGACATTTCAGTCTCACTTTACTGAAGCAGCACCTGTCACAATTCAGATTGATATATTACCATTGTTATTTATTTATAGGTTTGGTTTATAAACTGTGAGCCCCTGTGAGACAAGGCTCAGTTGTACAAGTACATTCATATCAATTAAAAACAGTTAAAACAGTAACAATAAGCAAGTAGACAATATAACAACATCAGAGATGGCCCTGAAATGAGTCAATTTTTCTCTATCCCATGGTGAGGGAGGCAGGCAGGGTGGGAAACCACTGCTGTCCTCCGTCATAGGCCTGGTGGAACATCTCTGCCTTACAGGCCCTGCAGAACTTGCATTAGGTCCCGCAGGACACGGATGTCATTAGGCCGAACAGGTCGGGGCCAGGGCCACAACAGCCCTGGTTCTGGTTGAGGACAACCGGATATCTTTCGGGCCAGAGATCACCAGTAGTTTTTTCTCTCCTGAGCATAATGCTCTTGGGGAGGGTATACCAGGAGAGGCAGTCCCAAAGATATGTTGGATTAGGGCCCTGAAGATTAATACCAGAACCTTGAACTCGATCCGGTATTCAACATGGAGCCAGTGCAGCTGGCGAAGCACTGGTTGAATGGGCGCTGTTCGTGGGGTTCCAATAAGAACCTGCCCCACTGCATTCTGGACCAGTTGTAATTTCCGGATCAGTCTCAAGGGTAGCCCTGCGTAGAGCGAGTTACAGTAGTCTAACCCGGTGGTGACTGTTGCATGAATTATTGTGGCTAGGTCAGGGCGAGGCAGGAAGGGGGCCAAGGTGCCTAATCTGGTGTTGCTGGGAAAAACTGCCAGTCTGGCAACATTTGTGATCTGGGGCTCCATCGATAAGGAGGCATCCAGAAACAAACCCAGGCTCTTGACAGTCGGTGCTGGTGTTAAAGGCACACCATCAAGAGCCAGGAGTTGGCACCCCATTCCTGCATCTCCCTCACAGAACCATTGTCTTTGATGAATTCAGTCTCAGCTGGGTCTGTCAACCATCCCACCACAACCCCCATCCCCCTAGCCAAATTTACAGGGGCGGTGTCCAGCAGTCTGTCCATCAACAGATAAACCTGGGTGTCTTCAGCATACTGATGGCATCCCAGCCTGAAACTCCACACCAGCTGGGCAAGGGGGCTCATATAGATGTTAAACAGCACTGGTGAGAGGATAGCCCCCTGA